TTAATCTTTGAGACAAGCATATGACTACTGGCAGGATAGAGTAAACTGATGTTGCCTGAAACGACGATTCAGTTTGAACCGTACCACGATTGTGGAGGCCACGTGCGCTGTCTCACGTGACATTACAAGATTTCCTAGTGAAGCAATTTGCGCCCGTCAGGCACACTAAACCGGTTTGAATCCAATTCGTTTTGAATTTTTGACTACCCCTAGTGTAGCGGACCCAGTCAGAACGAGTGGGCCAGTGGGTCGCGCGTTCAGAAATAGCGCATGCCGCTGTGCCCAGAGCTGGCTGATGACGCCCAGTGACGTGGTTGTCTGGTGTCTGCCGCCCACTACCGCACAGTCGAGCTCTCTACGCGCAAATGTAACAGTGGTGGCGTGACTGCGTAGTGCTGCGCTGGTTGGGATTGGGGTCGCGCCCGCGGCGCAGGGAAAGAGTAATCACGCCTAGGGAGGAAGACAAGGGCCCTGTTTCTTGTTGGCTCGCTGTAGTAGTCGGCCGGCTGAAGTGATCGACGTGAGGGACGTCAGGTCACTGCCCAGATCTGGTTCCGCGGCACGCGTCCTGCGCGTCATTGATTGCAGCGGGCCCGTGCTGGACGGTTGGCGAATTGCTTCACTGTGCTTCAACGCGTCGTCAGCCTGTGTGCCCGAGCTGTCACCAGACCGGATGCAAGGCGGTGCAGCGCGTCTGATGGAGCCTTATTTATTCGCGCAGAGGCGTCGCGTGGTTCGTAGAATGCACGTCACCGGGAGCTCGATGTAGCGACGTCTTCCAGCATTAGCGATAGGAAGTCTCTCAGATTAGCCCAGTGGCTGTGGTAATGTCCCAGATATAGACATATGTCTATATATGAACTCGAGGAGCAAGGTGGGCGACCGCCGGGCCCAGGTGAATGTGACAGCTTGTGGATGACGTCTCTGTCAACTTCCACGACAAGCCTCGAAAGTATGATCGATTCAATGGAAGCGCACTGACGGCCGACTTCTCGGCGACCAACGCCATACTAACGCATGGTGGCTGACGTAGATCCCGACCATTGGTGGGCTGCTGATGACTGATAACAAAGGGGCGAGTGAGTGGTAAGCGAGCTGAGCAGGGTGCTCTTGAGGCAGGGTAGAGCAGAGACCATCCAGCTTGTGCTCTGGAACCCGTACGGACGGCACCTGGCAGAGAACTCTGAACCCGCGGCGGTCCGAGGAAGGCAGTTTACGGCCCGGTAGTCAAAATCGACAATGAACGGATCTCGAGTTAGTTGGAAAAGTTCAAGTGAACCGCTGGACTGTTGCGCACACACAGCGGGCAAGACAATCCGGTCGACAGTCCGATCTCGGACCCATGCCGCGGGAGGCAGAGTCCAGCGGGCCAGCTGCCCAGCCGTCCACCTGGTCACGACATCTCCCCAAGAACGGAACAGCGGATGAGCAGTTGCAACACAAGTGGGAAATGCGCAGAATTCGGATGCCAGTAGGCCAAAGTAGACGGCGATCCGTGATGTGTTGGGGGAGCACAGTCCTTTGATCGACTCGAAGCGGTCGAGAACACAAGCCGCACACGGGATCGACGTCTCGCTTCGACACGTGACCCCACTCCTCCAACCGATACCTGCGTTGCAGCCGCGCTGTGAGCGCAGTGCTCACCTTCCACGGCGAACGGTCAACTTTAGATGAATCAGACTCCCCCTCTCCGTGGACGGATGGGTAGATCTGGAGGGGGAAGCGGGGCATAGCGGGGCGATCTGCGTCCGCGTTCTCTCCCTTCCATTCGGCGTCCGAGTGCGAGCAAAGCAACCGACATTGAAGACCGAGACATTACCGCGTCTTTACCGACCTCCCGACGCTTTGACACCGACACGTTCGGCTATGCAACAGTTGCACCGGTCCAGCCACTGCCACTGGTACCACTGTCATTCACACACCACGGCGTACCTTTCCCCTGCACAATAGTCAGAATGATCCCGTGGATCACGAGCCTCTGCAGCTGCCGCTCCTGCCGCCGGTTTCTCGTCGCTTCAGATTCTGGACCGACGTGGACGCATGGGCGACGGGGCGATGGGGCGCGTGATCAGCTCCCAAACTTACCCCCTTGTTGACCCATGCGACGAAGTCACCGGTTGAGCGTCTATCCGGGCACACTGGTGCACTTGGGCACGTCACAGATCACAGCGTGTCAAGGGCGGCGACGGAGCAACGGCGCAGCGGAGGTGAGGGCGGCGACGGAGGCAAAACCAGCAGTGTGCACCCCAAACCCAGCCTGACACACTGTGCAACCCACGGCCACCAGCTCCACGGATGTATTCATCCGGTGCCCGTGTCCTTGGCGAGAGGCATGACCGCGGCGCGCGCGGGGCGCGCGGCGATGGCGCGATGGCTTCATCTCTTCGACTCCAAACACAGCGTCGGCTCCAGAGAACCCGAAACGCTGGCTTGCTGAGTCGTACCTGGGAGAGCCTTGGGGGCAAGTTGCGTCGGAAGCTCCGGTGTGTAATTGCCCCCGTGGCCCCGTGCCTCCGTCGAGTTCACCGAACTGACTCGCATACACTTCCAAGCGGGCCGTTTCTGTACGGCCCGGGTGCCCGGGTCCCCGGCTCGTTTTGGATGACAGCTGACGGCCCGCCAGCCCCAGGAGCACACAGGGCTTCGCTTCGTGGCAGATCTGGGATCGGCTGGCCCTGCTCTCTGCACTGACAGCCCGTACTGGCCTATGCATGCAGCCGACTTGGCGATGGCGTTGGTGGCTGGGTATCGCTTGATGCATGCATGCTCCGCCCACACTGTGAGATGGATGCCGAAATGCACTGATGAAACTCTCCGTGGCACACGACCAGCTCCCAAGCTTTGCACACGAGCGATTAGTATCATATGCAACACTCAGCTGGCCTGCAGAAAGGTACATCGACTAGAACATATGGTACAACAGAAAAAGACACTCGCCGGTGCTTGACAACTAACACGCGCCGGTGTTATGAACAGATGGAAATGATTAGGCTGCGGGTATACAGTGTGGTTGTGGGTGCGGGTGCGGTTGCGGTGTGAATGCGCTGCGAGACGAACTACTCAACCTCCAGTCAGCAGGAGAGTATTTTCGGAGCCTCGATCGTCGGCGTCGCGATGCGCTCGACAATGTCGGACCAGAAGACGTGGTTCGGGCGGCGCGTCGGCTCGACAATGCCGCGGGGACCGACCTCGACGAGGCGCGCGTCCCAGTCGTGCTCGTTCGTCTCGAACGTCGTCAGGAGCACGGCGCAGTGCTCCCACCGCCGTGACGAGTGGTAACCGTCGACGAGGTAGCGCAGGATGTCACCATGGGCGACGACTAAGGCGTTAGCGCAATGTGCTTGGTTGTGTGAAGGTGCTGCGGGCGCTACTCACGAACAATCTCACGCTCGGGGCGGGCACGGAGCCACTGGCGCAGCTGGCGCGCACGCTCTTCGGTGTTGTCAGGGTCAAAGATGCCCTTCTTGGATGCATAGTCGGGCGACAGCGTGCTGAAGTCGAGCCCGGCACGCTGGAACATGCCGTCGTTGGAGGCAGCAAGCGCCTCGACCGGGTGAAGCGGTACGTCACACGGCTCACTGGTTGTGTGTTAGCATCGGCCGTTTCGGGTCACATGACGGAAACTGCGAGGAAAATCGTGGTCACGGGGTTCCGTGAAGACGTGAGGGTGAAACGGTGCCTGGGGCTCATGGGGGGGGAGGATCAACCTTGGCGGGTATACCAAACCGAGGACCGGCTGCGTCAACGCCGCGGCGCAGTCGCACCGCACCACGCCGCGCATACCAAACGCTACTCCGCACATAACTGAAGCGACGGCGATCCATAACGCATCAACCTCGGCCAGTTTGGTTTGGAAGACGAGATTTGGTATGCAGTTTGGTATGTCGCGTGGTGTCGTCGGCCGCGGGGTGGCGAGATTTGGTATTGGACCCTTGATACCAGGCGATCTTTTTGGTGACGGGGGCACCTGGACCCTAAGATACCAAATCAACTCGAGTGGCACTTGCCGACTCGGAGAGATAGCAAGATTTTCCTTGATCGCGAGCTCGCGGTCATGCATGGGGAGGGGTGATACTCACTCGCCGACCTCCTGGGCAAGGTCGAGGACAATGGTCGGTTTGCCTTGAGCTTCGAGGCGCTCCTTCAGGTTGGGGAGGCCAACTAGCGTGGTTTCAAGCGCGCGACGCATCTGGCGATTTGTCAGTCTTGGGCGCGGTGGGGCCGTGGTGGCAGATTAACTTACCGGTGAAGTGACCAGAAGTTCAGCGGTCGCCTGCAGTCCTGTGCGGGTTGCTGCATGCAGGTTGCCAGCCTGTCGTCGTCCGACCTTGGTGAGGGGCGCGTCGGGGACTTTGAATGTTAGTTTGATGCGTTGCTTTGAAAAAAGGCGCGGGTGGGGCCAACTCACTCTCCCAGTCGCTGGCGACACTGTTGTTGTCAGCACTGATAACGCGGCCGTGCGGCGGATTCGTGCTACTCACTTGTGCTCGGCCTGAGCGTGGCGAACGAGAAGGATTCGTTTCCGCGTCGGTTCGTGGACCATTGTGTGTGCGGGCGTGCGGGGTCGTGTGCTTGTTTGGAGGGATGGTTGCAAGGAAGGAAAGTCGACGATTAACTTAAGTAGGAGCAGAGGGCAGCAGGCAGAGACGGATTGCAGGAATGATCCGCCTTGGCGGGGGCGGGGGAAATGGCCCTCGGCTAGCGTGCGGGCTGAGTCAGTTCGGGTACCCTTCAGCCCCATGATGCCCCGGATACATGCCGGCGGTAGTGTAACCGCTGATGAAGCTAAAGATTTGGTCCCGTTCAATTCGTGACGCCTTGAAATTCGTAGGCCCGAGGCAGCCACGCGCATACCGGCGGCCAGCAATCCTCAACTTTTGGTCCCGTCGTGCCGCAGGCAACAGGACATCTGCCCGCCCAGCTGACGCGCTCGACAGCTGACTCGCCTAAGCACCGGCCCGGCCGACATCACAGCCTTCGGTCTCGCGGTCGCCCCCTGCCGCCTGCAGCCTGGCGCCTCTCGCCGCCGCCGCCGCCGCCCGCTCACCCTCTCGCGTCATCACACCATTCCTCTCCTGCATCGGAATACTTGCGTCCACCTAACCGGTTCCACCATCGTTCCTCATCACTCGGCACTCAACCACTGACAAAGCACCCCACTCTGTCCCTCCCCGCTCCTGGCCTCCTCACGACCCACGACGCAACCAACGCAACCAGCTCCAACCGCTTTCCACAACATCCATCACCGCAGCGGGGGCCGGCGGTACGGTTGTAATTGTAATCAACCATGCCACCACCGGCCACCCAGTCGACGCACCACTACCACCCGCATCATGCGTACAACCAGGCGGCCCCAGCCCAGTCTGATCCCGTTCAGCTCGCGCACTTCGTCATATTCAACCCAACCTTGATCCCGCCCAAGCGCAGACAGCGGAACAAAGTTGATGACCAGTCAACCGAGTCAACAAAGTCATCTGACCTCGATCAGACCGCCCTGTCCCCGCCATCGTCTCGATCTCAATCTGACTCGGAGCACCCGTTGCACGTGACGGCCAAGCATGCAAGCGAGCCTGCTCCAACCGGTATTGCAACTACCGGCGGCAGTAGCGATGGAAAGCCAGGCGAAATTCTGGAATCTGCCAAAAATCCTAATCCTGACGACGTCGATGTCGCAACCAAGGTACCGAGCCTTGACGTTAGTAGCCCGACTCCGAACAAGGATGAAGACAATCCAGACTTAGAGGACGACTTACGGGAGGCTGCTCAGATCGTGTTCTACACATCCCACCAGGCGGGGCGTGTGTCGCGGGACACGATGCTTCGCCAGGTCGGTCTGGCGAAGGGTTTGATGGGCTTCGCCGACATGGCTGCACCGTCACGGGCAGAGAAGAACGTCTGGGCTGTCCATGGCTCACACTCGCGCATGATAGTGTATGCCCCCCTACCGAACTGGTACATGTACATCTGCATAAAGAGCGCTGAAGCTGGCGTGCATGCCCTGTCGGACCAGATGCTGGTCTCGGGCCTCGAACGTGGCTATCACGACTTCTGCGTGAGTTCACGAGTGCAGACTGGGAATTAACGCCAGCTCACACACGGCGCTTTCGACAAGCATGAACCTGGTCATGCGTTTGTCAGCCAGCTCGAGCGGTTCTTCACACGCTTCACGCTTGCATTCGAGGCCACGTACTTGACCGCTCCATCGCTGTTGACGTGGCTCGGTGGTCAAGCGCCGTCCGACCCGGCGCTGCAGGCGAAGCTCCGGGCACTTCCACCACCAACCGGATCGACCGTCGGCCTCATAACGCGGACCTCCGACGGTGCCGTGTTGCGAGCATCGGCGGGTGTACAGCTCGACCCGCCCGTTACGGATGCGCTGATACGTTATCTCACGCCGCTTGTCCCTCCTCCACCGGCGCCGGAGAAAGAGAAGAAGACGGAGCGCCAAGCTCTAGGTTTTGGCTTCCGCCGCAAGGAGGCTAAGGACCTCCGACAGGAGGCATGGACGCCCTTGTCGTGGGTGGGACTTGCGCCTCGTAGTGCGAGTGCCACGCCACCCCCGAAACCGCAGCCTTCGCATAAGGTCACTGCCTCGGGTGGAGGACGACGCTGGTTCAACGACATCGGGGGCGTCTTTGGCTTGGGCTCGAAACCAGCTTCCCCAGCGCCCGATTCGAAGGAATCGAAGGACAAGGAGGAGACCCCGGCGCCCCAGAATCCTCCGGCAGTTGGCGTGGCGAAGGAGTCGACCGAAGCAGACAAGGGCAACGTCAAGGACGCCTTGCAGGTTGGTGAGAATGATGATTCCACCGGCGCGAAGTCAGACAAGGAGGACGCCACGCCGACTTCCTCCACGACACTACCCATCCCTTCTTCCGAAGAGCCCGGTCCCCAGGCACCGATGTTAGCCGTCTCCGCTGGCGACTCCATCGTGACGTCCGTCGCCTCGGACCCATCTACGGCTTCTACACCTTCCGGCTCCACACTGGGCCACGCGCACGCTGCCCCGAGTGTCATTACAGACATGACAGATGCGACTGCGACAATAGAACCTTCTCTCCACACCAGCGAGGGCACAACGCTGGTAGACGACGGCGCCTCGGTACGCACAACGCGAAGCACGCCGTCGTTGATTGCGCCGGAGGGTCGCCCGCCCAGTATAGCGATACAGGATGCGCTGATGAGCGAGCCGGATCCGTGGGTTCAGCGCACAGTCTTTGTCCCGCAGAAGGCGAGGCTCCGGTTCGTCGTCAGGAACGGAGCGATGGTATTTGTTGTGGAGCCGGAAGCGGAAAGCGAGTCGGAGCGGCCAGGGGATGCAGAGACTCAACCTCATGCTGCTGAAGGGTTACAGGCTGAGAAGGTCGAGAAAGCGAATGAGGACGAGGAGACGCAATTAGACATTTCCAAGGGTATCGACGCCGAAGACAAGCCCTTCATCGACCCGTCGGCTCTCAGAGACGTGTTCACGGCCCTCGACCCAAGCCCCTCCTCGACGTTCACACCATCGCACATGCCTACTCCGTCTATCGAGAAGCTGCCCCTCGGTGTGTACCATTCAGGCGGAGTAACGAAGGTCCGGCCGGTCCCGAATCCAGAACTCGTAGCTCTGGCCAACCTCCGCGAGATAGGTACGCTAAATAGCTTCGGTCAACTCCCTAGTGGTCGCTTTGTGGCCCGGAAGGAGGAGGAGGATGGCGCCGAGCTGTTTGTCCAGACTCACAGGAATGTCGGCATCACGGAGGCGGAGAGGGTCATGCGCCAGTGGAGCTATGATTGTGAGAGCATCTAATATGTTGTAACAGTGTATCTGCATGTATCATTACCATTAGCTTCTTAGTCGTTTCTTTACCTCGTCCGCGATGCAGAGTTGCGCTACACAATCATCCCATCACACGAGGAAACCACTCCTGCACCTTCAGATTGCTTGGTGAGTGACCGAGCCACGTGACGTTCCCCCGCCACACTCGGACATATTCGGACGCGGAAGGTCCTTCGTCGCGGACGCCCAATGACAGCAACCGTATTGCACAACGGGACCAAAATGGACCGTACCCCCCTGCCCAACTCCACTCCCACCGTACGCTCGCTGTGCCCGCCCGCCCGCTCGGTCCAACTACCAAGTCGACGACGACAACTTGAGTCTCGACAACTCACCGCTCAACCATGTCGTTCATCGCCCGTCCCGGTCTCCTTCGTTGCGGTCTTGCGGGTGAGTTGCGCACCGCCGCCGCTGCCGCCGCTTCGCCGTCGTTTTTGCCCGATTCCGACAGCCGAAAAGACACGCGAGCCAGGTCTTGAGAACCCCGACAACCGCGTTCGATCAATGTCTCGAGGCCTATCGCGTGTGCGACTTGACATGCAATAACGACGGCAGCGCACGCAGGAGGCTTACCGGAAGTTTGATAGCTTAGCTAACCCCAGCTCCCCTCCGCACCGCTCCCCGTGCGGTCGCGTCGCGCATCCCCGCCCTCCGCCGCGGAGTGCAGACCAACCCCATCTCCGAGAAGCAGCAGTACGAGCTCCTCAACCAGCAGCGCATGAACCGCCCCAACTCGCCCCACCTTGAGATCTACCAGCCCCAGCTCACCTGGTACCTCTCCGGTCTCCACCGTATCACCGGTGTCGCCCTCGGCGGTCTCTTCTACGTCGGTGCCCTCGCCTACTGCCTCCACCCCCTCTACCCCGCCATTGACTCGACCCACCTCATCAGCCTCGTCCACGACCTCCCCACCTGGGTCAAGGTTACCGGCAAGACCCTCATCGCCTTCCCCCTCTCGTTCCACTCGTTCAACGGTCTCCGTCACCTTATGTGGGACACTGGAAAGGGTGAGTAACTGTCGGGTTGTGATTGGGCCGGAGTTCCGACATGTGTGTGCGAGCGTCGGAGGACGATATCTTTCTCTACGCAGCTCGAAGCGCGCATTCGGCATTGCGGCGTGACGCCGATTTGAGTTGCTGTTCTCGCCAGCAAGCATCATCCGGCTATGATTTAGCGGAAAACACATGTCCGAGCGCCCTGCGCCCGAACTGCAACCAGCTAACCGTTTTGCGCGAACAGAGCTGACAGCCAGGTCTCTCCATGAAGGGTGTCTACGCCTCGGGATACGCCGTCCTCGCCGCCTCCGTCGCGACCACCCTCTACCTTGTCTTTGGCATCTAAAAAAGCTCGCCTATGTCACGAACTAGACTAGACGACTAGGAGGATTTTCACGAGGGAATTGTAGCAACCAAAGCAATGCACGACATGCAATAGCACCGACACTAAGCTGGAGAGGCTGTCAAAGCTCGCCGAGTTGGAGGAAGCGGGAAGCCATGGCAGAAAGATCGGGAAACTAACGATAGTCGACATACTGATACATTCGCGTACATTACTGAGCTAACGGAACCATGCGTTGACGCCGACACCGAGACCCAAGCCCTCGGCGCTGTGCCACCACCCCATTGGAATGAGCAAACTGTCTCCAGCCTTGAGACGGGCAGTGTAACCGCCCTTGGCCGCCTCTCTGATCATGGTCCTGTAAACCTCTGGAGGATGTTCGAGGTCGTTCATGTCTTCCCCGGCATCGAGGCAAGAGATCGGCACAGGTACTCTCGAAGTGTTTCTTAGAATCCCCGCGGCGGGCGCGAGGTGTGCCTCATTCTGCGGCGGAACGAGGTAGAAGATCTTCTCGCCGTAGAGATGCGTGTAGATGCCATGATTTGGGTCGCGGTGGAAGGGCGTGAAGGACGCGTTGCCGACCCAGAGCGTGCGGCCGTACAGATCCCCTTTGACGGAGGTGTAGTGTTCCAGCGGCGGGAGGGGGAGAGAGCAAGGTAGCGGAAGTTGGGCAAGGTAGGCTGAGAGATGCATCGCGCCCGCCGTGGCGTCACTGGACGAGGCGGTCGCGTGGTCGGGGGCATTGGGGGCGTTGTGGGGGAAATGTGACGAGGGGGCTTGCGGGCCTGGCGTCGCGGAAGGAGTAGAGCCGTTGGAAGACGCATGGGAATCGGAAGCACCTGAAGGCGCCGAGTCAGACTGCGAGATGTAGTCCAGGAAGAAGGCTGTGATGTCAGCTCCGATGCAGCCGGGGTAGCTCACAGAATGGCATCTCGACCCGCTGCCACGCCGGGTCGAGGTATCCCCTCCCCCTCCTTCCGAGCTCGACCTCAACAGCCTTGTCGCCCAGAATATTCCGGAGACACTCGGGAGTGATTTTTGGCCACTGCTTCGTTAGGTCTGGCAACACAACGGGATGCCCATGTATCGGCTCGGCGTCATCGGCGCTTGTTTCGGATGGACTCGGGCTCGGACTTGAGGCTGACTTTGACTGAGCTGTCGGCGTTGGAGGCGGAGCAAGGTGTGCGGCAAGTTGCACAGGCGTCATGAACCGCCGCGGTGTGCGACGGAACAGCGAGGCGAGACTCATGGCTAGTCGAGGCGGAATGAGCGACAGTACAAGAGGGCAAGAACAAGGAATCTCGGAAAGTCAAGAGGTCAATCGCTCAATCGTCAGCCAGATCTTGGAGGAAGATTGCGGAGCCCGGCCTCGGTGCCTCCACCGTCGAACATTGCGTACGAATCATTGGCGAGCCGTCGCTTGATGTCATCAACTCTCCGTCGACCGACGACAACCATGTCCTTGACACCAGAACAAGCTCGCGCACTCTGGGACGCGGGAGGCTTTGCGCTCATCCAGGGCCTGCCGCGCGGCTCCGAGGTCGGCATGGACGGGACGTGAGTTACCTTCCCTCCTTCGATGATCTACCTTCCTCCAGCTTCTTGTATGGCAAAGCCAAGCTGACCTCCAGGTATCATGTCGCAAACGTCTTTTCGGGAACCAAGTTTGTGCCTCCAGGCCTGCACATGATGGTGTGGGCTCCTTCGCCGAAGACTGCGCCAGCGCACAATCCGACCGAAGGGGCCAAGATCGAAGAGATCCCCGAGGGACAGACCGACGCTGGACCGGGCATCCCGGACGCTGCGGCGCTTCCGTTGCGTGCGGCGTACGTGCACGTATGGGAACCGAAAGAGCGTATCGGACTCCAGTTCGATCCCGCATCCGAGAACACGAGCGCACCGCGGACGAACATCCCCGAGGGAGAGCTGAGGGAGCTTGACCCGCAGCTTGCGCCGTATCCCTTTGCGGGTCTGAACGGATGGAAGTCCCTCACGACGTGCATCAGCAAGGCTGTTGTCGAGAAGGCTATTCCGGGAGGCAAGGTCGATGCCATGTCGCAGGTCAAGGGCGAAGCGTTCGATGCGAAGGACAAGGATGCGGCGGCGCAGGAATTTCTCGCATCCACGCAGGCGAGTGCCGGTGCTCCCGAACTCCACCTCTCCGTGTTTGATCTGCGGAGGTCTTGGCCTGAGGGAAGCGAGGCGGGTGACGTTAGTAGATGGAGCGTGGACAAGAGCAAGCTCTGGGAGCGCCTTGCTGGCGAGGCCGGAGGTAAGCTGCCTAGCGCTGCCGGAGAGCTGACGACAGGCCCCCGCGCACTGCTCGGTCAGCTGCAGTTGAGCTTCCTGCTGCTGACAAATGTATGGTGCTACGCCGCCCTGGCGCCGTATAAGCGTCTTCTAGCTGTGATGTGTCGATCAAAACTCGCCATTGCTCAGCCGGAACGCTTCCCGTCCGGTCAGGCGAACGATAATGTAAGCTTTTGGGGGTCCTTCGCAGCTGACAAACAGGCGCGAGAGTGCGTGCTCGAGCTGATCCGCACGCTGGCGGCGCAGCTTACGTCTCTCCCCGAAACAGCGTTCGACACCGAGCTTCCGTCGGTCGACACCTTCCTCCAGAGTGAGATCGAGCAGCTGCGGCAGAATGTGAGCGCCGCCCTCGCAGAGCCGGGCTGGTGGGGTCTTGCGCAGCGTGTCGCGCGCGAGTGGCAGGGCCTGCAGCAGGCCGGAGCACGCTTCGGATGGGACATCGAGGCACTAGGCAGCGGCGACGATGACGAGGATGAGGAGGGCGAGTATGCCCCGCAGGTCGTCGAGATGACCGAGGATTGATCAAGATGCATGTATCTATAGAGTGTTACAGTCTAGAGGATGAAGGGGATCGCGGCCTTGCGGCGCGGGGGATAGTCAAACGTCCGCCTGTACCACGCGTGTCCCCTCAGCGCGCGGGGGAGCATGCTCGTCACCTCTGCGAGCACGAAGGCCCAAGCCGGCGCAAGGAGATGTGTCGGCCACAGCTTCCCTAGTGGCGTGAGACGCAATGCGTACCGACCCATACTCGACAGCGGCGGCACGGGGACGAGCAACGGGCCGGCGGCGAGCGCAAAGCCGCTCCACTCGAGCCTGGCGTCAGCTCACAGTACAGGAATTGTAGCACTCACCATTCGCAGAAGTAGTTCGGGAAGGAAATATACTCAAACAGCCCTCCGTGAGGCACAGCGTACTTCTGCGGCTTGGCTTTGGATTTTGACACCCGACGCTGCTCCGGCGGACGGCGGAGGTCGTGCAGCAGCTCATCGTGGTACACTAAAGTCAGCTGTGTGTCATGGACTCCTCACTGTCCACTTACCGTTTCCGTAGAAGCCGAGAGCCCACAGAGCGATGCCGGCCCAGTAGAGCAGACCGGTTCGTGGTTGCAACTGAGCAAACTGATACGCCAGCAGCGAACCGTTGAGTCCGTTGAAAATGAAAGCGGCGAGGACAACGACGAGGTGCAGTGGCGCACGCTTCGGTGCGAGGTACAGCGGCGATAGCAGCGCTCGGTGGAAGTAATGCACCGAGTAGCATCCGATCAGAATCCAAGTGCGCCACGACAGTGAGTCGAGCGGTACCAGTCGTTTGAGCGTCGCAAAGAACACAGCGGGCTGCCGGGTTAGCTTGCCAGCAAGAGGAAGGAATGACGCTAGCAGGAAGAACTCACCGAAACACACTCCATGACAGCCCAGGCAATTCCGGCAGGCAAGTTCAAGACACTATCCCATGAAAACTTGCCGAAGGGGGCGTCCATGAGCCACAAAGTTATCGGAGCGTGGAGAGGGAAGAGGTGGAAGATGACGAGGAGCGGATATGCGCCGACGGACAGCGCCCGCTCCCCTGTCTCTGGAGCGTCCATGGTAGTTTTATCTGGGCGCGGGCGAGTCTGTTTGGATGAAATGAACGCGAAGGACCAGCAACGTTGCGTCAACAGACGATCCGTAGCAGAGACTCGAATCTTAGCAGGCACCACCGCACGATGGACGTCATACGGGCCGGGCTGGCGGGAATGTCCGGCGTCGTTATCTCGGCACGTGACTCCGCTCAAAAGTTCGATTCCATACAGGTCCAGTGGCAAGTATTCCGAGCTGCTCACAACATCCATAAACTCAACTACGATGCTGCTTCCGATAACGAGATTAAGTGCAGCACGGATACGACTGCCGAGGCAGGCGATTCCCTCCCAGCTCTCGGCGCGATTCTACGCCAGGAATGCCGACGCCGCTCCGGTGAAGCTCCGCGGCGCTTTCGTCACCCCGACACCGGCTCCGGAGAGGGAGACGAGATCCACCGATCGATCCAATGTCCGCGAGCTCGACCTGTCACGCAAATCCGGCTCTTCGGGAAACACGGCTTGGAGGAACGCTTCTCCGCCATCGAACCCACGGCGGGATAGCTTCCGGGACAGCAACCGAAGCGGGCGTGATGATCGACGACCTGGTGGACGGAGGGGATCGATCCGTCATGACCGCAAGGACGAGGGACCGTATTACTTCTCCCAGACGATCAAGAAGTGGATTGAGCGCAATGAGATTCCCAACAAACCTCTCACAGGCCGTCAGGTTGAGGAGGTCACTCGAATGATCACGTCTGCGCGGCCGGACAACGTGAACGCCGCTGTGTGGAACCTCGTTCTCGCTCTCCTTGGTCGACAGGGACAGTTCGGAAACATGTGGAAGGCGTACAACCAGATGAAAAAGCGGGGCACCATGCCCTCGTCGCGCACGTATACCGTGATGCTGAACGCTTTCGCCGGTGTCGCGCACGGCGGTGTCGCGCAGAAGACATTCACGCCCCAGACTCCACCCGAGCCCTTGACGCTCCGCCGCGTCAACGCGATTTACGAGCACTCGCAACGTCATGTGCAGAAATACTTGAAGTACGCGAACGGGGAGGGGCTGGAGCGCGATATCGAAGCCGACGAGGATCGCGAGGGTTTCGTCAACGAGGCTCAGGTCAACATCATGCCGACGAATGCGTACCTCAAGTTCCTGTCCCGATACGGGATGTGGAAGGAAATGCAGGCCGTCTTTCTTGCAATGGATCCTCACGGCCCCCTCGCTCCCGATCAGGTCACGTACGCCACGATGCTGAACACGATCAACAACATCGACCACTACCGCCGCGCCAGCGCCGGGCGTGACGGTGCGGTGAAGCTGCCCGCGATCGAGCCCGGCCCGCAAGCCCGTCTGCTCTGGGACCAGGCCGTTCGCACCTTGCACCCGGCTACTGCTGGCCGGAAGCTCGACGAGGGAGTTGCGCTCGCGGCGCTGCAGTGCTTCGTCGCCGGCCGCCCGGAGGACAAGCGTTTCGCGGAGACGCTTATTCCCCGCCTCTGGGGCTTCTCAGCGCCGAACGCCCCGACTGTCGCTTCTTTGGCTACGCCTCAGGTGGCTAAGAAGGACAACTCGCTTCCCCGTCTCCGCCTCGACGTACGCAGTGCGACGCAGCTCATGTCGCTGCTTGTCCGTCTTGGCCGCACCTCTGTCTCGGCCCACTACACGTCGCAGATCCTAGAGCGCGACATCAAGTTCGACATGCCCGCTCTTCGCGCTGCGATTCACAACCTCGCCGCCGTGCACGATGTTGAGGCTGCCATGAATGTGCTGGACCAGAACTCGGAAGCCTGGCCCCTCGATGTTCTCAATGCGGTCCTGAGTGCAGCCCGCTGGAGCAAGGACTGGGACACCGCCCTTTCCGTCTACCGCCGCTTTACCCACCTCCCGCAAGGTGTTGAGAAGGGCAACTACAAGGGGCAGTACAAGTGGGAGTCTCCGAATGGACGGCCTACCGACAGCCGCGGCCGCCGGTGGATCAAGAATCCCGTTGAGCCCGATCTGCAGTCTATGGACCTCCTTCTGCGTGCTGGTCTCGAGGCGGGAATCCCCGCCACCCGCGAAGCGCTCAACATCTACAAGTACTACCCGCGAGAGAGGTGGTACACGATCACTGCTCAGGGAGAGCTCTGCGACGTCAAGGACCACATCCCGAACCCCGGCGTCAACACCCGCCGCAAGATTGAGGAGCGTCTCGAGTTTGCTCGCACTGTTGAGCGCGCCGCCGACACTCTCCAGTTCAAGGCGAAGGACAAGAAGGAGAAGGAGGACATGCAGAAGATCATCGACGACGTGAAGCGCGTCATGGAGCGCTGGAAGGATCTCAAGAACATCGCAGCGCAGGAGAAGGAGAAGGACGGCGCTCGTGGTCGCGAATCTGCCAACCGCTCCGGTCGTCCTTGGGACAAGCAGTCTAACAGGCGGCAGGACAGCGAGTTCCCCAAGCGTCGTACTGGAGACTTCCAGAACAGGCGCCGTGATGATGACAGGTTGACCGATCGCCAACGCGATGGCATCTATGCGCGGAGGAGGAGACAGGAGGAGCGCAGCGGGGAGTCGGACGACGAATACTAGTCATGTAGAACTCTGGGGCGCCATTTCCCTTCGGCCTGTCGCTGGCCATCTCATATCAATCATAGCATTTGTCATATGTAAGCATTCCACTCTAGCAGGTTTGGCGCGAAGTGTCCGAGTTCACAATCGGCGGGGTTGTTTTATCAGGACATTGCCGCCCCTCTGTGGTGCGGCGACTTGAAGCGCTGGCTCTCGTCAGCCGCAGTCTGAGCCGACGCCGTCGTGGCTTTCTCCGCGGGGCTCGTCGGGGTACTGATCTCTCTTCATCATGCCGGGCCCGGCACGCACTGGGGCGCAGTTCATACGTGCAATGTAACACCAGACGCCGCATTCCGAGTCCATCATGACCGGTCGTCGGATGATACTGGTCCACCGCGGCCATCAGCGCACGAAGCAGAGAGGTGCGAATGCGTCTGGAAGGTCGTCACCCGCAGTGTCACCTGTCGCAACAGCACCGCCGATCTCCGAACCATCCCCCCGACCAATCCCAACCAGCAGCTAACGTGGACCAGGCTGTAGCCAGTAAACGCGTAAAGCGATTGATGCCAACCAGTAATGCCTCTAGCAGGCAGTCCCCGTCTATTCCGGTATTGCCAAGCCGTTACCCCTTTCTCTGCACTCGTAACCTGAGTGTGTCCAGGGAGGATGTTGCGGGGCTCACTATGGTTCATCTACTGTCGAACAACTCCTCATTCGTCCATTGTCAACTGATCTTTTCATCATTTGCCCGTTCTCTTCAAGGAAAGGTGTGACCTCTGCGCCTCCCGACGCCAGCGCCGGCAGCCCTAGATCGCCCACTGCACGACGCTCAATGGACACACAGACAGTGCTGATAAGACCTATTCATACTATACGTTGCCTTGCCGTGTGGCTGCTATGTGACTATTGGTAGATGGCAGATGTTGGGAATGCACAAATGAGAGTTTGTTTGGATGGGTTTTGGGTTGAGGGGTATAGGCGATGGAGACGCTGCGGGCCCACAGCGCTATGACGTTAAGAGAGGAGACCTGAAGACCTGAGGAGACCTGAAGAACTGAGATACCTGGAGACCTGGAGACCTGAGAGAAATGGAAACTTTTGGGAGCCTGGGATCTCGCAGTCTGCGATGACTGGAAGGACTGAGAGGCGGCTCGATGCTGGCCTGGCC